TGAAAAAGATATTATTGATAAGATAGTTTATATAGGATTTATTCCTTATTGATTATTGATTTTGCCTTAAGTTTTACAGGATTTATTCAATCTTGCTTTAGCTTTTTTATTCTTACTTACTAAACATTCAAGTTTAGCTTCCATATGAAATTATCAGCTCCTTTTTCTAAATAGCTTCTTACTAAAATAAAAATCATTATGATATCTGTTTGCTGATTTGTGGAAACCTAAAGCCCAGCAGGAGATAGCAGGGAAGGTTTGACATCACCTCCTTCTAAGCAAATTATGTAATTACCTCCTGAGTCCTCAGGGAAAGTCTGGTCTACACCAAAAAAAGTGACAGACAAGCCAGAGCAACTTTGAGTTATGTGAGATTTACTATGCATCCTGATACCATAGAGAGGCCCGCTAATAAGATAATAGAAATGGAACAGCAATGGTTTTTTGGCTCCTGCTAATGTAGGCCTTTTGAGATTGTTAGAAAGTGTTTAGCATTATTGTCAGATACTTGAGTGCTTACACCAGGCATAACCACACAGTTATTCCAAAGTCAGATATAAATGATCAATAGTTTGAGTTTTATAATTATAGTTTCCTAAGTAGTATCCTACTTGAAATTCTTAGTTCACTTAAAAATTACAAATAATTTAAAATCGTAGGGGAAAAATTATGTTAAATCATGAAAGTATACTTCTTAGTAATGGACCTAGCAAACAAAATGCAATGCTGACAAGGACAATTTCCTAGATATAGTATTAAAAGACAAACAGCCAAAGGAAAAAAACCAAAGAATTCTTGTGTTCCTTTTGTGAGCAACCGATGTGGTACTCTATATCTTCATAAGATAAAGTTACGAGATTTTGAAAAACCGTTTTAAGTAGTTTATTTCTTTTTTGAGTTTAATTTTTAGATCAAAATAGATAAGATAAAGTAATATAAAGAATCAATAATGGTATATTCCTAAGTTTTTTTTCTTACTATTCTTATGAACATCTAGACATATTTTAGCCATTAAAACTTGCTTTTACAGAAACCTCATTTTTAAACTAATTTTGTTTCTCTTTTAAAACTTTTATCCTGATAGAATACATCTTTTAAAAGGCCTTAATATCGATAGAAGTATTAATCTGTTAAGATTTGGATGTGTAAGGCAGCTGATATTAACTATATTAACTCATTTTTATACATCAAGGAAATCATGGATCGGATCTACAAAAATGTCATGAATAAAGTGAATGAAATGAGTAGTTTTCAACGCAATCTGTTTATTCTGGCCTATAATTACAAAATGGAACAGATTTCAAAAGGACGCAGTACCCCATTGTGTGACAGGTAAGTAA